GGCCTTGCTGCATGTAGCACCTTTCAGATCGGATAGGCTCACAGATGTTAAAGCGCATCCCTACTCAACAAAAATGTGAGGACATATGTTTTCCTCTGCCGGTGCAGCAGGCCTTGCCAACTGCCACCTTTTGCGTCACAGCCTCAGCACACCAGGAAGTTGCCGAGATCTGGGTCCTGTATCATAAGTCCCTCCGCGTAAAATTCACAATACATCGAAGGAATGTAAATGCTGCTTGCTATTGAATATGACAGATAGGCGCATGCATGTGCAGCTAAAGCTGGCCTGGGCTACGTTGGCTGTAGCGTCTTGTCACCATTTGCGTTGTTGGTACTGGCGGGCTTTGTTCAGGAACCAAACACGCTGATTCTGCTCAGGTGATCCTGAACTCGTAGGCTTACTTGGGGGGTGCGAAGGACGTTGCTTCTTTCAACTTGTTGCGCATGTGGGTGCCGGACAACATGTAGGCAAACGGTGTCCATTGAAGATGTGATGCAGCAGGAGCTTTGACCCCAAAGCGTTTTATGCAAAGGCCTCTCAGAATCTGAGGCCACGGGTTTCTGAAAATAGTCGCCATTGGTTGAAGATCGCATAGCTGAGCCCTGGCTTCTAGATCTTTACTTGATTGAGCTTTTCCAAGGACATCCTGGGCATTCCGCAAGGGGACTTCAGTAAGCTTGTGTTGCCATCAGGGAGCCTGTTTGAAATCTTCCTAAGCGCTTGCTAGGGCTTTTGTGGCCATATGGGCCACTTATGAAGATACATCAATGTTCGCATGGGTTGCTGTGTATTCTTTCCTTTTTTTGGGGGGGGGGAGGGGGGGGGCGGTGGGTTGGCGGGCTTGATTGGGGGAGTGCAACAGCTGCTGTCCTAAGAGCTTTCAGCTTGCAGGCGCCCACGAGTGTTCATCTCAAAGCGATCTGGGTGTTGCCCAAAATTAGGGGTACCTTTTTTGGGGTTCCCATAATAAAGACTATAGTATTTTGGGGTTTATATTGGCGTCCCCTATTTAGGAAAACTACCATCTCATTTTTATAAAAATGTGTAGCCGCTGTCCTAGGAATACGAGGAAATTCCTACCAGCTGAGCTCTTAATATGGCTTTAATTGGCTGAATGTTGATCTGGCGCCTCCACTCCCCAATCCATTGTGCACACACAGCCCAGTCTGAAAACATGTCATCATTGGCCCTCGCGGTCAGCTTTGATTCATCCATGGCCCTGTAGCATAGACCCTACCCCCACTTGGAGAAAAGGTGCGAAGGGGTGAACAAAGATGAAACCCAACCCTAAACCCTGAACTCTAGGCAGAGACTACGAGGAAGCAATGTCACTCGGCACAAAGCCTTGCTTGGTATAATCCCCTATATATCCCAGTTTCCATTTCATTTTCCATTTTCTTTTCCATTTGATTCTCCATTATTGGGGTAATATCCCTATATCCCCCCAAATAGTAACCCTAAACCCTAAAACCCCAAAACCCTAAACCCTAAACCCCTAATTTTGGGAAACCGGCATCAAGTCTCAACCTGTAGGTCCTTGTGCTTCTGTAAAAGTAAGGGCCCCCTTTTCCAGGATTCTAGGGTTATATTGGGGTTATATTGGGATAATGGAAAAGAAAATGGAAACTATAGGGATTATTGGGGTTATATAGGGATACTGGAAAAGAAAATGGAAACTACTATAATATTGTTTTCGTAGTTCATGTGACGAGTAGGTCCCTAACTTCTAGAAATTCAAAAAATTCAAGCTATGATACGGTAATTTCGTAGAGTCATCATTCTGGCATTGGGTTTTGCATTGGGATTGCATTGGGCTAGCTGGGCGCTCATCACATGGCCGCCTCATATTGTGGATGAACAAGACCCTGCAAGTGTACTGTCGCGTCTTCCATAGGTCATGCAGGGCGCCCAGCAGGACTCGACTTCACAGTAGCTGCAGTCCAAACTCCTGAAAGGCTTGTATAGGGGGTTATACAGGGGACTACAATAGGGGTTATGAAGGGCGATACTAGGAGCTTGGACTATGACTCACATGGGAGTGTTGAAGGTCTCCATCTCCTCTTACAGAGTATCTGGTCGTACTTAGATGTTTAGTTGCAAGCAGCCGAAATTTGCATTCCAACAAAGACGTACGCAACTAGTGCTTTTGCATTGGACGATTGTGTGGTTGTGGGTTGTCCGAACCACCCACCTTATACTACTTCTCCAAGGCTCCCCCTTAATTAGCCTTAATTAACCCCAATAGGGGCAAACTAGGGGCGAATCTACGCGGCGTAATTTGTATAGGGGGGGAGTGGTAGGGGAACCTATCATTGGCGCTTCCATGTCCCGAGTCCCATGTTGCTTGAAGTTTACCAGCAGAAACGACATCATATTGGGGTATATAGGGGTAGATTGGAGAAGGGAAAAGATAAATGGAGACTACCTCCTTGTTTGGGGCGTTGTTTCGGGTTTAGAGTCTCTGGCTTCCATTCTGACTGCGCGGGAGCTGCGGGAGCAATGCGACGTAGTGCAAAGGGAGGCTGATGCACTGTGCACCTCAAGTTGGGTGGTTGTCAAAATTATGATCTTTTTTTGGGTCCCCTAGATATTAGGTGCCGTATTATAATAGGGACCCAAAAAGGGACCGTAATTTTGACAACCACCCAGTTGTCGCGGGTCTCCTTCCGATGAATGCTGTTGCTTTGAATGGTTCTCCTACATCCTGACTGCTACCTGAACACACCAGGCGCATTACATCCCGACCTCCCGAAGCATCTAAGAAAAAAAAGGCCGACACAAGACCCTAAAGCATGAAGTGTGTTTTCCCTCAAAATCGCCAGCAAAGGTTGTTTTTCTATCACAACGCTCTGAACCGTCCATGTCCCCCTGTATACTCTGCACAGGCTTGGCTTCCTATATCTAAACACTTGTCGCATGATGCTTTACAAGCCGGACCCGTGATGATTTTGCAACTACCGAAAAACCCTCATTGTGTTCCCTATTAAGGGGTCCATAACCATAGTCTTTATACTTGCTCCAGCCTAAAAATGAGGCACCCATGCGATTCATGTTGTGCCGTAAAACAAGAAAGCCATAATTGACGTACTGTTCCCTAGGAAGGGGACCCATCGTCATACTGTCCACCTAAGGCCCTGATTCGTATCCGAAGAGGCCCCAACCTCTATAAATTCTAGGGACTCAACATGGTTTCGTAGAAGCTCCCTAAGTTTTTTTTGCAGCTAAAGGAGAGCCTGCCTGGCTTGCTTTCAGAGGCGGGCAGTTCCCTCTCCTCAACGGATAGGGATTGGAGGGGGTTGCGGGTTTGGCTTTTACGGTCTAGGGGAAGACTCATGATACGCGTTGAGGCGTCGGGGAGCATGCGCAGACTACGGGAATGTTGTACGGGCCCCACCCTCGACCCTACCTGCACCCAAAAACTCAGGGCAGTGGCCACTTGACCAGACGTTCTGTTCAATGTCTCACACGCTGCGTAAGACCGGTTTGCAAGGACATTGCCACTGGAGCCCAGCATTCGGATCTCTCTGACACTGTGACAGTAACGTTTTCTCTAGGAACGCAAAGCTATGCAAAGCTAACCTAGTCCTGTTCAGAACACGTCGAAGGAAGGGCTTGGCGATTGAGAGCTTTCCCGAACTCTTCTTTCCAGCCTCACGTGAAGTCGAGTTACATTCCAGCATCCTGGTGTGTCCGTTTGTCCATCTGGGTTCTTGCCAACATGAGGACCTGTCCAAAACCACCAACTCTGTACTGCCATACTTTTTGCACATTTATCATCATGAGATTGGGCTCCAACAGGAGGGGTACCAGCCTGCAGCCATCCGATCATCCAGAAGATATCCGTAATTGACCTCAAAAGGGATCTGGAGCTATTCAAGACTGGACAGTGTCCAACATCGCACTAGTCCAGCCCATCTAAGTGTATGGCACAAGCGCAAAACCGAGAGCTACAGTTTTGAGATCCTTTTGATGTCGGCACAGGCGCATCTGTCAATTTAGTTTGAGATACACCAAGAATCATCTTGAATGTGATCTTGCTTTTCAAGCTTTTTCATGGCGGCCCGAAGTGAGCGTGACATTGTAGCTCCCAACACGTAATTATTATGTGGGATATCTCAAAGTTTTGGATCCCCTCTGCAGTCATCATCCCTGCGCACCCACAGGATCCGCAAGAGCGCTCCATTTCATCCATTGTAAGAGTTGTGGCGATGTAGGATTTCCGACAAGTCTGCTTCCACGGATTTAATCTCCGACGGTGTCAATTCAAATCCGACTTGCATACTCAGGAATTGGATTCAGCGCTTCAAGTCCAAAACTGTCACGCTTGAATTCTGCACAACTGTCTTCACTGGACCGCATTTCATCCGGGCAAACCCTGCATAATCCCTGAAAACTCATTGCACTCCGGAACCTTAGCAATTGGCATATCCCAGAAAACAGCTGCAGGCACCCAGACGCTCCCTTGACCCAGTTTGTTGCCGGACAGTCTGAACCTGAGCTCGCAAGTCCCAATCCCCCAAGGATGTCTCCAAAAAGGTCTAGGGGTGGGAACACTCCATCCTGCTACGACCTTCAGTTATGAGATATCAGTGGATGTACGCTAGCCTTGTAGCGAGGTATCTTGAAGGTGATGTAATGCTTAGGTGCTCCGTGGGTCTCAAGGTGCAGGTTAGTGGTGATATGCAAAAAAGTGAGTTGCACAAGCAGCAAAGCCATCACCGATATTGTAAAGATCCTCAGAAGAGACCCTTCCTCTCAACAAAATCCTCACACCAATTAGGGCGGAGGGGTCCGCAAAATGTGTTTGCTCTTTCAAGATATAGTCTGGCAAATACAGTTTTTAACGGACGCAAACCAATAAAGGCAATCTTTGCTTTTTGTTGTACCAGCGCTTTTCGTGCTCAAAGGTCCCAGCAACTTGCATCCTCTGACCCAAAATGCCGGCTTAGCGGAGACTCTCCAGTAGTTTTCTGTGCCTGGCAGTAAACCGGGTGGCTGGCATGCTGTATGCAAGTCAGATCATCGAAAGGTATGACCACAAGGGAGGAGTTCGGGTGACAAAAGAAATCTTTGCAGAAGATCTCAACATGATGAAGAATCTTGCAGAAAATGGCTTCCAGGCCAATGAGTCTTGCTCCCACGACCTATGGTAGCACCAGCACATCTGGAGTCCAAGCGCATGGAAAATGAACGGCGCCTTGGCAAAAGTCCGGCTCTTGCAGCTGGTGCTGAAGAGCCTGTGTAGGCAGCAACTCGAGTAGCAACTCATAGTAACTCCGGGCAATTCAAGGTGCATATTTGCACATATACATGTCATTGTACTCTCAATACGTTGTTCCAACATCAGCGCACTGTTCTAGCAACGGCATACCACGTAAGGTACAGGCGCCAGGTGGATGAAGATGTGCAGAGATTCGGGCATGAGAAAGCCAAGGCTGACTCCCGACGAGCACAGGCGGAAGCCGAGCAAGCTGAGGCCGAGCAACAGCATGCGCAGGCCGAAGCTCGCAGAGCCCAGGCGCAAGCCAGACGAGCAGAGGCTGAAAGGCGTTTGCGCGAGGCGGAGGCGGCACGGCGTGCCGCAGAGGAGGCAGCACGCCGGTCCAACTTTGGCTTCCGCTCGCACGGTGACCCCATCCTTTGCGCTTACAACAAATCCTCGGACGAAGTGGTTGAAAAGTCTTGCGTAAACTACACAGGGCCTGCAGTCGTGACATGCTACGACCAAGAGGGGCTGCAGAGAATCATTTGGGTTGGGGTCAGCGACGAAGATGGTTCCAACCGTCAGGGTGAGGATGCTTTCTGGGTAGCTGAAACAGTAGCCTTGACTGTCTCCACAGGCAAGTGGTCATATCAGGATGTCACGGGCAAACACATTGCTGATGTTTCCTGCGATACGGCGGAAGGGCGCAACGCCATTGTGACAGAGATTCCGCCCATGGCCTTCCTGAAGACTTTCAAGAACAGCAAAACCTTCCTCGTTCACACCATGCAACCTCGCATAATTCCAGGCCCCAAATATAGCTTCATGCAGGACATGATGAGTGACAGCTCGCTCTCGCACCTCGAGTATGATGAACAGAATGCGAAGAACTGGCTCAACGCATTCCTCATGATGCTCGGCTATGCGATGGAGCATGGAATTCACTCCAAGGCCTTAGGTGAAATTGCCAAGTACGTGGTGGTCTACGGAGTTGCGCAGGCACAGAAGGCGCAGGGCAAAATTCAAAGTCCATCCGCCTGGATTCCCACAGAAGCTGTGTGATTCAGTCAAGGGCCCTGGACTTTAGCAGGCAGATGGCCGATTTGTCCAGAGGTTTAGCACAAGCAAGTGCAGAACAATTTGATTTTGTCAGTTTTGTCATGCACCATTGTTGTAACGTGCTTCTGGACCCTTTCATCGTACAGATCTTTACAGATGTTGGGGTCTCCTGCTTCTCATGCTTCTCTCCTCGTCAAGCTAGCAACAAACCATGCCCGCACATGATAAAGCAACGCTTAGCAATCCGTAGTGGACCGGGTTCTCGAAGCCTGAGATCAGAGGCACAGCTCAGCCGCATGAGACGCTCTGCCTGCACATGAAGGTGGACTTGCTCCGCAAGTTTGCGTCAAACACGCTGCGAATGGTGCGAGTTAGAAAAGACTGCAGGAACTGAGCATGCTTGAAGCTACAAAGCTTCACCGGTAGCATCAGGCGGCCAAGCCATCCAATAGCCAGTCTAGAACTACGACTTACAGCCAACATGTCCTGTCTATTGCACAGCAGGGGAAGATCTCACCAGGTAAGGCTGCGGTCTGCAAGCGTACCACAAACAGCCATGAATCGAATCTAACGGCGTGGTCTGTTTTTGGCTACCTAGTTGTTGCCGGAATAGCACGATGTGTAGTAGGCTTGGCCTACCAGATTGGCGCCCCGCAACTCTTCCCGACCTTTCTGAAGCCAAAGACAGTCGAGCAGTCATGCAAGGGAGGTTCGAAAGGGTCCCGAAGAGGGCTGAAGATTCCATGAACCTCCAGAATCCTGCATTTTAAGCCCTGGAATTTATGTTACTTAAGTGTGACCCACCCCAAACCCTAAACACTAAAGCGCTGAGCTGAGGTGCATCTATCACGTGCTCCTAGAGCACTACAGATACGGTCTGTCAGGCCAAAGGGTGGAGTTTGGGAAATTTGAGTACCTGGGTTTAGGGTTTAGGGTTTAGGGTTGAGGGTAGTACTTGTAAGGGGATAGTCATATAAGGCTTACATTTATATAGGGGGTATATAGGCTTCAGATGGCTTCAGGGTTTGGGGAATTTGGGTGCTACATGTTTGTTTCTGCAAGGCAGCAGTAAGGCATTGATCCCTTTCAGGTATCATGGCCATCGCAAGTCCTACCCAATACATGACCAGTATTGTTCTGGCAAGAAAGCTGGAGAAGAATGTGGTGATGACACAAGCACCTACCTACCTACCTACATACATACCCGAAACTGGTAGTGTCCGCTGCTGAAGGAAGCGCAGGAAGAACTTGTTTGACAGTGTCGTAGGTTGAGGCGTGAAAGATACTTCGCAAGCATATGAATGCCTAACGCGGCTGCCAGTATGACAGGTGGTAGCATGACATCAATAGCCAATATAAACTATAGTCTAAACTCCTTAAAGGGGGTTATATAGGGGATCATATTGGGAAGTACTATATGGGTTATTAAGGAGGATACTAGGAGTTTAGACAATGGCTCATATGGCCCTATGGCAAATTTCTACATGCATGTGCGAGCCAGAGCTTCAGCTTACTTAGTTTGACGGGTGAGCCTGGTGCAGTAGCGATGGGAGTGGTTAAACCAAAGAGGATGAGCATAGTTAGGGGAAGTGCCCGAACCCATAGTTACAATAAGTGATGGTCTGGGGAAATCGTATTCCCTGGCTATGGGCCCAAGCCCGGGCAACTTCGGGAGAAAAGCGCCAGTACCCTGGATTGTCTTAGAAGTTTGAAGAGACCTGGTAGTTTCCAAAAATAGGAGGACCACAAGGTAGACCTCAACATGCTATAATCCTTACTACAAGCACCCCCGTTTAGGGAACCCTGCAAACCCTAATCCCTAAACCCTACATACCCGTATATAGCCTTATACCCCTAAATACTCCTATGTAACCCTACAACCCCATGGTAATCCGTACATAGCCCTATACCCCTAAATACCCCTACATAACCCCTATAACCCCATCGTATCAAAGAGCCATAACTTCATCAGGTAGACCCGCACAGGTGCAAGCCTGACACGAAGCCTACACCTTGAGCCAATACTTGGCCAACTATCTGCAGGTGTAAACCCTAAACCCTGCGGGTTTAGGGCTTAGGGTTTATCCTTCCAAGACGACACACTTAGGGTTTAGGGCTTAGGGTGTAGGGTAAAACCCTCCAACCCCCTCCCCCCTCCCCCCAAAACCTTCCCGAAGCCCAAGAACCCAGAAGCCCAAAGTTCTTGCTACGCCTGCCAGATGCTGAAGCAAAAGTCCTGTCGGAAAAAGCCTCCAAGGTGAGACTCGGGGTCTGAAGAAGTATGGAGGGCGTTGATACTTGTGGCTACATAGGGTATATAGGGAGATGTGCATGCGCACACGCACACACACACATATCTATCTATCTATCTATCTATCTATCTATCTATCTATATATGTATATATATATATGTATATATGCGTGTGTATATTTGTATATTCGTATATATGTATATGTATATATATATATATATATAGAGCTGCTTGGGTAAGTCAAGTATTCAAAAGGCGTTTGGAGTTTAAGGGCTAATTACTTGCTTATCGACAAATGGAGAGTCGAATGGACAGAGGAATGGAAACTTGGATTATGTTCTTGTTTTTCATGCTATCACATGTGTATATATATATATGCGTATTTTTGCCGGGTTGCTTTGGCATCAGCTTCATTTAGAGATTCTGGGGATGTGCAACGATTCCGTCACGGTGATAAGGGGATGATTTCCCGGCTGCACAAGCACAACTATGCATTTTCACGGCTGTCTATGGGGCACCTATATCTTTTTCAAAATGGCGTAGCGTTCTGCCATGAGGGTGTCGTCTTGCAGACCATAAGTGTAAGTCCCAAGTCACACAGACCGTAGGGGCCAGGGACTTGGAAGGTGACACGTTGACTTATAGGGTTTAGGGTTTAGGGTTTAGGGTTTTCGTTTCTAGGGTTGTACCTGCCAAAGAAGTCCGGGATTCTGCCGGTGAGATGATGCGACTGCAAAAGTGGCATCTCTTGCATCGAATCAGCTCAGAATGTGAGATTCCGATTGTGGATGCTTGTCAGCTCCGGGGTTTGAGTCGGAAGGCGCGAGAGATTACTTTGACAGGTTTTTTACCATGCTCTTTTGGGAATGTATTGCAAGTGCCTCTAGAGCAACCCAAGTGTGTAGCCTATAAATCCATATGTTGGACTCGAAGCCCCAGAAACCAGACCAGGGCATCATATGAGATCAAACAGGCCCAAGCATTATTATGTGACATTCTATGTGTGAACATATACCCCATTATAGAACAATCCATACATATACATATACCCCAAGTCCCTGCCGGTTGCAGCTGCAAGGCAACCTTACGGCTGTCAAATCACACATCCCCAAGCGTGCTTACATGAACGGGATGCATAAGGCTTAGACATGAGTTGGCCAGGAATCTCTACAGCATGTTTACCATCTAATCCTTGTGCAGAACTTCTCTGGATTGTCATCCGTGGTTTCAGCGTGGTTTGGGTTTTAGGCCGCCCCAAGCTGGGCACACTAGAACTCAAAGCCCTTCTGATTTTAGCGCTACTTCTATAGACTGTGTATCCCTACGTATATAGACCTAACAGAGCTAAATAGCCGCAAAAAACCCGACATAGCCCCATAAACCCTAAACCCTAACCCTATATAATCCCATATTACCCTAACCCCCTAAACCCTGGCCCTATATAGCCCCAGATAACCCTATATAGTGCCATATAGCCCTATATACCATAAGCAATGCAGAAACTCTGCCAGGCGCTGGGACAGGCACGCCGGCGAATGCCGGAACACTGGACCCCTGAGGCCAGACTGGGAGGGGTTAGGGTCTAGGGGTTTAGGGATTTAAGGGTGTAGGGTTTAGGGGTTTAAGGGTTTGGGATTTGAGGGTTTAGGGTTTAGGGGTTTTAGGGTCTAGGGTTTCGGGCTAGTGTTAAGGGTTTAGGGTACCTGTGGAACAGGGGTGGGGGGAGGGGTAATGGACAAGAAAATGGAGAAGCAGAATCAAGTGGGAAAGAACATGGAGAATAAAGTGGAAACTGGGATTATGTCGTGATTTATAGGATTTGGAAGCTTTCCAAAAATTATAGATTACAGGACACAAGTTTAGGATGCTGTCAAGCGCAGTTCAGGCAAGCAGGCTATTCCCCAAGTGAAATCTCGACATGATAAAACCCTTGTCAAAGCACCCACAAGAAGGGCCTCACCCACAAAAAAGGGCCTCACTGTTTGGAAGCCCCATTATAGAGTCTCTAGTAATTATCCCTGCTGCATGACAAACGCTGGAGCCCAAGACCTCCGCATAGCTTCCAAGCAAACATAACTGGATAGGGTGTCGGGTTGAGGGTGTAGGGCTATAAGGGCCCCCAAGCATGGGTGCGAGGAAACTCCTAAGATCTTCTGCAGGACCAGGTCATGCTGGACTACGTGCAAGCGGATTCAGGCGCGCGGGGGAAGTTCCCCATCCAGGCTGGACCATCAGAGTCGCGCCATGAATTCGTGCTGAGTCCCCAAAATAGCTTTCTCTATATATATATATATTTCTACAAACATATGCCTGTATGTATATATATATAGAGAGAGAGAGAGAGAGAGCCCTAGATCACATTCTTCTAACATGCAGCACTACAGTGCAAAGAAATTGCAGTTCCTTTGCTTCGTAGCAGCCGTAGCCGCTGTAGCAGTGCCTCCTAGCTTGCGGAATGGAGCTATAAGTTATGATAATCTGGAATGGAGTTATAATATTCAAAATAATAGTCGGAATAGCAATAGTAGTAGCAATATGTAGCAATAACAATCATGATGATATTAAAAAATAGTTGGTTTTGTGGGGCTGTTGTAGGAAGAGGAAGTTGTTTGGTTCCCGGGGGATATATATGGGGCTTAGGGTTTAGGGTTGAGGGCGCAATCCCTTAGCCCAAAGTCTCTGGAATCTTGGCGGGCTTCGGCAACTTGAGCTTCCCAGGATTTAATGGGAGGCTGTTGTAGAAGGAGCAGA